GCCGCGCCGGCCAGGCGCTTGCATCTCTGGGGACCCAGGTAGGCGACAGCCGCCTGCGCTCTGCGAGGCCTGGGTAGGCTTGAAGCCCCCAGAGGGGCGGAGAGGATGGAAAACGCCTCGAGAGGGGGCCGAGGGGCGGGGAGGAGGGCTGAGACCCCCCCACACACACTCCTGCGCCCGCCCCCGGGTGGAAGGGTCGGGCCGGGGCGTGTGCGGGGCGGCCCGGGTGCTTGGGACCCGGAGCCGCGCACCCCGTGTCCGAGCCGATCGGGCTTTGGGGAGGAGGGGCGGCCGAGAGCCTGGGAAGCCGCGCTCCGCCTGGATTTCCTCTCCCCAGGCAGGGATTCGGCGTCCGGCCCCGGGCGCTGCTGGAGCGGGTGACACGGGAGTGTCCCCGGTTTTAAAGGTCTGCCCGCTGCGGGGAAGGGGGGTGTGCGCCGGGGAGGACAGAGGCACCACCCGCGGCGCTTCGCGCCGCCCGCAGTCTCTGCGAGGGGGGCGTGTGTGCGCACGGAGTTCTCCGTGAATAAGAACCGAATTCTTCGCCTGTAGTGGCGGAGGCGTGCACACACGCGCTCCCTCTCGTACACACAGTGCAGCACACGCCACCCAGTGTCACCGGGCCGGGGAGAAAAGAAGGAAGGAGCTGTTTGGAAGGGACCGGCGGAGGAAACAAATACTCCCCGCCCCCCCGCCCCCGCCCGGCTCCCGCCCCGCCCGCCTCCTCGGAAGACCTGGAGGCCGCGGCGGGAGAGGCCCGGGCGGGGTGGGGCGCAGCCGAGCCGGCGGCCCCGGGAAGGGGGCTACGCGCGGGGTCGGCGCGCGGGGTCGGCGCGCGGGGTGCGCCCGGGATCAAGCGCTGCTGGCGTGGCCCGCGGCCGCGAGCGGTCGGTTAATGATTTAATCACCCTCCGGGGGCGGTGGAGCCGCGGTCGGCCGTCTCTGGCTCCGCCCCCTCCCTGGAGCGCCCCCAGCCGGGGGTACAAAACTGCCCCTGTCCCCAGTGCGTCCCCCACCAGCAGCCCTGCGGGCTGGGCCGCCGCGGGTGAGTGTGGGACCGGGAGAGCCGGGCGGGAACCCGGAGCCGGGGGGCTGGAGGGCTGTAGCTGGGCGGGCTTCCTGGGAGAGGACTGAGCCGGAGCGGGTGTGTGTGTGTGTGTGTGTGTGCATGCGCGCGCGCGCGTGTGCGTGTGTGTGTGTGTGTGTGTGTAGGGGGGGCTGGGGGAGGGGTGCTCTGCTAACTCAAACCAGATTCCTGGTGTTTCCCGTAGAGATATTGCAGCCCGGGCTTGGGAAGTTTTCTTTCTGTCCCTGGGAGAAGGGAGGGGAAATACAGGGCTTTCTCTTTTCTTGTCACCCTTTGCAATCTGACTGGCTCCCACGCCCTCGGCTGCGTCCACGGCGCCTATTCTTTGCCCGTGTGTATCCGAGCGGTTGAAAGCGGAAAGGGTCCCCGAGCCGCTGAAGCCTGCTGCTCCGCTCCTGAGGGTTTGTGGTGTTGGAGGGAGGCTCTCCCTCATCCTTACCCTCAGCAGCCATCTGGACCAGGGAAAGCTTCCCCCCTGCAGCCAGCGTAAACAATGAGGGGCCCGGGTGCGGGAGGACCTCCTATAATGCAACTTCTTCGAACAGTCTGGGTTTCTAATAACTCCCCGCCGCCTCCGCCCCCTTTCTGAGGCTGGGGTGGAGGAGGGGACCACCAGCAGGATGGACTGAATTTTAAGAGAACAAAGAACAGGGCACAAAGGAAGGGGAAGCCGAGCTGTGGATTTCCCCCAGAAATGGGGAGTTTGCTGGCCCAAGGCTGGGCCCATCCAGGCCTCTAGGTGGCTCCAAGGCTCCCGGAGCAAGAATGGGGCATCCTCTGGAGTCATGGGAGGCTCCATCCCTGTGCGGTAGCTAGGACCCTGCCCCAAGTGTGGGGGTGCCATGTGGGCTCCAGTTTTCACCAGCTGCCCTGTGGGAGCTGCCCATGTGACTAACTGATTAGGGTGGTTTATCTCCTCCAAGTGTGGACTTCACCCCTGTCTTCGAGCACAGCTGCTGCTTCCCACAGCCGGGGCTTTCGTGAACCTAGGGGAGATATCCCAGTGGGGTCTGGTCTTCCCAGGGGTCCTGGTGACCCATGCAGGGACTGGGAGCGGGCTCATGTGATAAAGTGAGTCTGCTCCCAAGAGGTGGCAGTTTGCGGTGAATCCCAGCCCCTCTGATGTCTCCCTGAGCTCACAGACCCTTGCTCCTTGACGAGCCAGGGTTCATATTAAACTCCCTACCTAGCTCATGCCTCCACTTGGAACATTCTTTCCATTAGCTGGGGTTTCTGCCCTTTTTTCTCTTGACCCCTCTTTTTGTCTTTCATTTCTCTCTTACACGTGCCTACCCACTCATGCTCCTCCCAATCGGGTGTGCGGACCCAAAATAACTTCTGTCCTGCTGCCTCTTAGAGGCTGACCGCCCAGCCCTCAACAGGACTGGAGCCCACAGAGTCCCAAGCGAAGGAGAGTCTTATTTACAAAATGGGCTGGGTCCTTCACCCCCGGGGCAGATGTCGACCTGGGAGAGGAATCTTAGACCCTTCTTGACAAGTCAGGCGCTTTCCCAGAAGGGCCCCAGATTGGCTCTGGTTCAAGGATTCCAACCCCCTCCACCTTTGGAGTGGCTGATTGATTTCTGTGGCCAGGAAAGGCTGTGCCCTGGTGGGGAAGGCAAGGTGTTTGATATTGGCCAGGCTCGCTCGTCTGCTTTCTCTTTCTCATTCCCCCCCCACTCCCCCACTCTCCCACCCAGTCTTTCTTCCCTTCGCTGGTTTGGGTTGGTGGGAGTGGAGAGCCCAGGACTCCTGCCGGGCAGCGTGTCCAGCTTCCTCTGGCTGGTTGTTCCACAGGCTCAGAGGAGCTTGGCCCTAGGTGGGGGAGGGAGGAGTCTGTCCCTTGGAGGAACAGGATCTGGGTTGATGCCAGAGATAAGGCTTGGGGGCGGAGGGATGGGGCTTGCGCAATCTTGCCCTGGAAGCTGAGAGAGGGCTGACCCAAGCTTAGGTCTTCTGACCTATGTACTGGAGGCTTTTCCTCCCTCAACCTTGGGAAAAGGAAACAAACCTTGGAGCCAGCTGGCAGAGTCCTGAAGGCCTGCTCTAGCAAAGACTTCTGGGGTGCTCAGGGGAGGACAGACCCGTGCCAGCCCTCTCTGGACAGGGAAGTGGATGGTCGCACCGGGAGGGACTGGTGTGTGGCTGGATGTGGCCCTTGTCTGCTCGCGGTGTGCGACCAAGGAAGTTGAAGCTATTACCTTCCCACATTCCCACTCAGCGTGTCCTCGAAGCTCCTGTTTAAAATACACCGCTTGTGGAGCCTTGGGCTCCCTTCCAGAAACGTACATCAGAGTCTCCCCCAGGCACTGCCAGCTTGCAGCTCGGCAAGGCAACAGTGCCTGAGTGTGTATTCGGGAACAGCCTCTCTTGCTCAGCCAGGTCCACTCAGGCTACCGCCTTCTACCCTTCTGCCGCCATGGGGTGGGGGGCTGGGGCCAGCCTCCGGCTTCCCTGGGGCAGTCTCCAGGTTCTCCATACACCTGTATCTACCCTGTTCTTTCAGTGACTGAAGGTGGGCTGCCCACCGAACCCCAGCTTCAGGTCTTCCCGGGCTGACCGTGAAGCCAGGCTCTGCCCTCCACCTTCTGCTCCTTGCTCCTCCGTACCCTCAGGGGCCCACTGCCTGCAGCCCTTCTCTGTTCCTTATACCGTTGCCCTTGACCCCGGGAGAACACAAAAGGAGCCTTCTCTGGGCTCCACTGCAGCTTCTACACCTCTATTGAGAGTTGGATTAGGTCCTAAGAACCAGGCGGTGTTTTATCGGGGGTGGAGGGTGTGGAGGGTTTGCGCCTTATTTGTTGCTGGTAGCACCCAGAGTGTCCCAGATTCCTGAGTTATCCAGCCCTCATCCTAGAGAGGAAGGGCAGGGGGCTCTTTTGTCCCACCTTCGCCTCATCTCCCCCCCACACACACACACACGTCAGGCTGAAGTCAGAAAGAGTGTAAGACCTGTCTGAGAGAAGCCAGGCTCTTCCCTCCTGCATCACGAAAGATCTGGAAGGAGGAAGTCAGATGGGCTTGGAAACCAAGTCTCAGGTTGCTGGACCCGCGGCCAGTGGGGACTACAGTCTGCCCCTGGGCCTCAGAAGCTTGGAGGACCCTTCCTCCTGCAACGCCTCATCCCAGGGACCCTCCAAGCACTTTGAAAAGGGTCAGCCCTGGAAGCCTTTGGGATGCGGTATCGTCAGGTGGCACTGAGGTAGGTGTCCCATGTTAATCATGGGTCATCCTGAACTTGGCCAGAGTGTGTGTCACTGGGGCTGCTGGAATTTTCCTCCTACGTCTCCAGGTACAGACACGGGGTATCCACTGAGAGTCAGAGAACACGTCACAGCACCTTCATAGCATATAGGTGAGCGCCCACCTTGCGTGTGGTGCCGAGGGCGTGGCCTATGTGAGCGTATTTAAACCTCACAGTGACGCTGGGAAGTACGTAATGTCCCCAGTCACTTGGAAAGCTAGAAGCTCGTGAGGGCCAGGCCGGGTGGGGGGGGGGGGGGGGGGGTTGCGTCTGGCTCCGGGGTCCATGCTCTTCACCTCCGCCCCGCATGCCCCGGCAAGGCCAAGACCATCTGGAGTGAGTCCAGATCTGCCCGCTCCCTCTGGAGAGCCTGGAGTGTCCTCTCCATCCCCATTCCTCCGCTGAGCACCTCACTCTCAGAAGAAGGGAAGTGAAACCAAACAGGGCCTGGCTGATGTGATTTCAAGTCCAGCCGCTTTCTTTCTGAGGCAGAAGCTCCGGGCAGGAGGGAGGAGCAAGAGGGCCACTCCCAGGTGAGGGGGACCTGCCCCGTGCTGGGCCCCCACTCCACCCCACACCCTCCCGTCCCCCCCGCCCCGCACCTCTTCCTCTCTCCCAGCTCTTCCCTCTGCCATGGCAGCCGGGTGCTTGTGTCCATCCGTCTGTCTGTCCAGTGGCAGGCTGGGGGAAACACGTCTCCAGGAAGAGCGCTGTAAACAAGCCAAGTTGCTGAATGTCCTTGAGTCACCGGCTCTTCATCTTGACTGCCTTGTAGTTTCCTGTCCCCCCCCCCTGGGGGGGGGAGGGTCATGGGTCATGCCTTCTCTTTCTTTCCAGGGCTGTTTTAACTCCCAGGAGGTGAGGAGGCTTTCTCCTCCCCACTCCCACTGCCTTCACCGCCTCCCTCCCCGGGCCCAGAGCGCACAGTTCTGGGATTAGGAGGGAGGTGAAAGCAGAGGTAAAGGTGAGGCAGCTGCTGGGGAGAGTGGCGGGTACCCAGCCCTGGGGAGCAGGGCAGGGGTTCTGGTGGCAGGCTGTGGCCTGTGTGTCCCAGGATTTATCTGTACTTTTCCCTGGAGTGGTGGGGAATGGAGTGCCCAGGCTAGAGACATTTTTAACCTGAAATCCTGTGTAGAACTGTGTATCCTGGGGCGCCTGGGTGGCTCAGCTGGTTAAGCGTCCGCTGTCGGCTCAGGTCATGATCTTCTGGTCCTGGGATCGAATCCCATGTCGACCGCATGTCAATCTCCCGGCTCAGTGGGGAGTCTGCTTCTCCCTCTCTCTCTGTGTCTCCCTCCTGCTTGTGATCTCTCTCTCTCTCTCTCTCTCAAATGAATAAAAAACAAAACAAAACAAAGCTGTGTATCCTGTGGGTGTTCATGCATCCAGAATCTTCAGATCTCAGGGGCCGGGGTCCCAGCATGGCTTCTGACCCTCCCTGGTACCCCTTCTGGTGGAGGGGGGGAAAGCCCAGGGTTCAGAATCAGGCGGATCCTGAGACCCTTCTCTCTGCTCTGTCCCTAGCAAGTGTGTGTGGCTTGGTGATGCACTGCTGTCTCTTAGCCTCAGTCTTCTTATCTGCAAGATGGGGATGATGATAACTCAGTGGGATTGTGGGGAAGAAGACAGGATGGTGTTATTACTTGTTTTATTTATTTATTTTTTAAAAGGTAGTGTAGTCAAGATAAAGCAGCTGGTTGGTGCAGAATAAAAGCTCAGGGAATGTGAGTTCCCTTTCTCATACCACGGTCCAGGAAGGGCCTGTCCACCTGAGATCCACAGGTCGGCGCTAGGATACCCTGCCCAGAGGGGTAGGTTCCTAGGCACCGGCCTGAGAGCCGGCACAGCCCACTCTTGAGACATGTTATTCCGCAGTTCCCTTGATTACAAGTCACTGAGCAAGGTTGGACAGCTGCTTCTATGTTTTCCAGCCATTAAAGGGTAAATTAAGCTGTAGTGCGTTTTCCCTGGCTGGCTACATTACTGGCTTCATTTTCTTATAAACTCTTAAGAACTATAAATTCTCTAAAATGAACAAGAATGAATCCGGTGGTGAGCATCATGATTAACAGAGATCCCTTGACAACAGCACTGCCCGTGGAGTACCCTGCTTGCCACATACGTAACCTTCCGTCCTCCGGTAGCCACATTTTAAAAACTAAACACGAGTGAGATTAATTTTAATATGTTTTATTTAACATAGTACATGTCCAAAAGATTGCCATTTCACCACATAGTCATAAAAAATGAATGAGATGTGTTACATTATTTTATCATAGAAAGTCTTCAAAATCTGGTGTGTATTTTACTCCTGTAGCACATCCTCATTTGGATGCTAAATTGCACAGATACTTAATCTGAATTTGAATCTCCAAAAGTTCAGAGTTGAAAAAGCAGATTCATATACTCAAGTATGTTTTAAACATAAGTTTTTCCAAAAACTGCATCTAGCATCAGTTTTTAAGTTTAAATATTTAAAATAAAGGATTGAGTCCCTTGGTGACATTAGCCACATTTCAAGCTCTCAGCAGCCTTTGTGGCTGGTGGCTACTGTATCGGATGCTGGAGGTTGAGAATATTACTCTTAAGTGCCAAGAACAGAGGTGCTTTGTGTCAACAGTGTTATTCGATACTATATTGGCAATTGTAGCAGATGTAATAAGATAAGAATAAGAAATAAACGAGACAGAATTATTATTAGTTGCAGGTGATGGGCTTGTCTACTTACAAGGCCCAAAATGTTCAACGGTAATGTTGATTCGAGTGTGGGAGACAGTACAAGTTTAGTAGGGTGGACATTAAATATATAGAAATAAAGATTGTAACCTTCCTATTTACGAGCTATAATGGTCAGAAACTACAGCTATGGAGAAACAGGAGGAGACAGAACTCACCTACAACAACAAGACCCAAGACAACAGTGACTCAGAATAAACATGACCAAGACCGCGTACGACTTGTAGGAAGAAAACCCACCACATTTAATGGAGGGTATCCAGAAGACTTAAGTAAATGGCCTGAAGATCTGCTGTGGCGATCAAATCTATTCTTCCCAAATTAATTTCTTATTTCCTTTCAGTTCCAACATAATCCCACCAGGATTTCTTTTGGGACTGACTGTTTTTAAAGTCCATCTGGAAGAGTAACAGTATTAGAAAAAAACACATTTTAGAAAAAAAGTTTAGGGATGTTACCCAACTAGATGCTCAAACACGTTTTACAGAGGGGCAGTGTAGAGCTGGTTTAGGAGTCAACAGACCTGTGAACACAAAGGGGAGTCTGGAAATAGAGTCGTGAGTGGGAGGTATCTGTATATAAAGAATTTTCCTGTCCAATGAAGGTAACATTTAATGCTTTGCCCACATTTTATAAAAATCCTCTGTGGAATCAGTAACATTATTGTTATATTTTAATTGTTTTTCTATTTTAAATAACCCACGATCTTCTTTACTTTGTTGTATTTTCTTCTAGTATTTTTCTCTATGAATTGTTGTTCATTATTACCTGGTAGCTTTAGAGGAAGTGAATATTTTCATACTCTTAGAAGTGGGAAAGGTCTTTGCTTCGTATTGTGAAAGCCACAGACCATGAAACAAATTTGGCTACGTAAAAATTAATAAGCACTCTGGAAAAGAAAACAAAATCGTCCCAGTGTAAACGGGTATATGATAAATTTGCAGAAATATTTGCAAAATATGATGGTAAAAAATGTAATTGCTTTAATATTTTAAAAAGTCCTACAAATCCATTGGGAAAGGTAAAGCCCCTTCCCCAGAAAAATGGGCAAACGATTTCAACAAGCAATTCCCAAGAGAAAGGATACAGAAGCCAATAGTAACAGGTTTTAAATGCTCACCGTCCTTAATAATGAAAGAAGTACAAATCACAAGTTTGCAGGTGTGCTGGTTACTGGGTTTTTTGTGTTTCTAACTAAAGAAGGTGTGACATGCGTTAGTGGGATTGTAACTTGGTCGAAACTTCTGGAGAATAAGTTAACAGTAAGAAACAAAAGTTATTTAACTCACATGTATCCTTTGGAATAAGGACTTGTGCCAATTGAGCTCGGAAGGATTTTTGTTACAGAGTTCAGACAAAACGGAAACAACCTGGCATTCCTTCGTGGCCCACTGGGTGTAAAATTTAGAAATTTAGTACTTAATTTAAAAGAACTTTAAAGTTTATTAACATGTAACTATTTTAGCCCAAATGTGAACAGTGGGTTGCTTTATTTATCTGCCTGCCGTGGAAGGCACTGCAAGTTCCATATATCATTTCCGTTTTTAATAACTACATTTTAAAAAGTAAGAAGAGATAGTTGAGATTAACATATTAGCCCAATACATTCAAAATATTAGGTGGTTTTTCTTTTCTTGAGGCCAGGGGCGGGGGGTGCGGACTGGGCAGGAGGGGAGGGGGGGGGGGGAGAGAGAGAGAGAGAGAGAGAGAGAGAGAGAGAGAGAGAGAGAGAGAGAGAGAATCCCAAGCAGGCTTCACACCCAGCATGGAGCCCAGTACGGGACTCGATCCCACAGCCCTGAGATCATGACCTGAGCCGAAATCAAGAGTTGGACTCTCAACCAGTTGAACCACCCAGGCGCCCCAAAATAGTACCATCTTAACATGTAATCAATAGCAAAACACAATGAGCTATTTTATATTTTCTTTTTCGTCCTAAATCTTTGAAGTGCTTTTGTATATTTCACCCCTTAGCATGTGTCGATTTAGAGTCCCCACATTTCAGATGCTCTGTAGCCACATAAGGCCGGTGCTGCCACGTTGGACAGTGTAGCTGTAAATTATTTAATAACCCCTAGAGAGGCAACAGAAGGCAGAAGTCACGGAGAAGGTGTGGTGCAGAGTATGTGGAGTTCACCCTGTGAGCCCTGCTCTGGCAAGAGCCTGGTGTCCTGATGAGTTGGGCCGGGCTCACCCTGCTCCCCACTTCCCCAGCAGGGATCCCCAGGGGAAGCAGGTATTGGAACAGGGCCTTGTTCACTTTCCCTTTCTTCCAGGAAGCAGGGAGTGTCCATCTGCAGGACGTGGGATCTGGCCAGGCGTGGCTGGGCAGTGGCACCCTTGGGTCAGTGAGCCTGGTCGGGATGGGCAGGAAGGCAGGGGTGGTGGAGCAAGTACAGGGCACCCAGCTTGGGTCGAGGTTCTGGTCTTCCTTCTTGGCAGCTGGAATGACCATGAAACACAGGATGGGGCCTAGAGTGGGGCCGGCATGAGAAACGTTGGAGGCAGGGCCTCCTGCTGAGCCCACTCCTAAACATGCCAGGGAGTCCTGCTTCTGGGTGGTCCTCCCCACCCCCCACCTCTCCCCTCCCAGGGAATCAGAACATGGGGGGATTCCTCCGAGCAGGAAGCTGGAATGAGATCCTGAGTAAGGAAGAGCCCATTTGAGCCATCCCTGAGAGCAGATCTCTGATGGGAAGTCCATCCAAGGGAGTCTTGGTTCCAAGGGTTTTCCAGAAGCAGCCTCCCCAATGCCATCCCACCCCCATCTTCCACAGGGACATTCTCGGCTGGGGACATCTGAATGGGCCGGGAGGCATCACCTCATTCAGAAAACCATGTGTCTGAGGTCGGCCAGAAGTTGGCTCAAGTCACCATTGAGTAGCGGTGAGAGTGATCTGTGTGGGGTGAGGCTCATGCCATCTGAGCCTCAGTCTCCCTTTCGGTAAAATGGGGGCACTCTCGACACCCTCCTTGCAGGGAGAGGGGCACAAGTTTCCCCTGTCCTAGCATGATGCCTGGCATGCGGCAGGCACCGGTAAATGACAGGATCGCTCTATCTGCACAGGACTTGATGGTTGGCTAGTTGTGGGAGCACTGTGGTGCTGGTGGTCCTGCGGGACCCCAGCCTCTTTCTCTGCTCTCTTGCAGCCTCCGGAAGAGCTGAGTTAGGACTGTAGAAGCAGCAGAAGCAGAACCTTCACCTGCCCAGGGCATCTTGGATAGGATCCCACTGTGGGATCACCCACGTGGGAGGCTGGCCTCCAACTTGGAGCTTTAGTGGCCCTGGAAAATTGGCCAGTCTCCGGTGATGGTGTGGAGGGGATGACTGTTATCTTTCTTCTCCCGCTCAGTTGAAGAGGCTCAGGTGTCAGGAAGCAGCTGTTGGGGAGTGAGTTCTTTCGGGGGAGTCCTAATCTCCATGTCTTCCCTTGATTCCAGGTTGCTATAGATTGCCCACTTTCTCCTCCCACACAACTTAGAATAAAATGCACACATCCAGCTTGGGGGGAGGGATGAAGGGAGGGAGAACAGACATCCATGGGGGGTGCATATTGGCACAAGAGAGTGGACCCAAGACCCAAGCTGGGGGCCTTGCACTGAGCCTGAGAACCAGACTGTTCTAAGGTGGTGTTGAAATTAATGTCTTTTCCTTAAGCCTTTCATGCTTCAGGATATTATTGTTGTTATTATTATTATTATTACTAAAACAGCATTACCACATTAAAGGAAACAAACAAAATACCTGTGTCCTCTCGAGCCTGATGTAACTCCTTTAAGCCTTTATTCCTGTACACTTGTGATCACTCTGTATAAACGAGCGGAAGCCCTGCTGGGTTTTTTTCTCCCATGTGATGGCTTGTGGCCACCAGTGGTCCATGTGGCAGCCTGGTCTTCATAAGCCCCCACTCCTCGTGGCAGCATGTCAATCAGTTAACAGCTCCTCGTCTTCTCAACTAGTTCCTTATTCCTAGCTGTTAGGTGGTTTCCAGCCTTTTGAGATTATAAAGGCTTCTGTGAATATCTGAGTATGTGACTTTTCCCCCTGCTTTGACATCATTCCTGGTGGAGAAGTTGCTAAATCATACTCATTTGAAAGCCGTTATTTACAGAAACCGCCGTGGTGGCCGGTGCCCCAAGACCATACTTTGGGTCGTGTGTGGCTATTTTAGTGGCTGGAGCCCTGGTGTGGGGACAAAGGCCTGGCTCCCATCCATGACCTCAGGCGAGTCCCTCAATGTGGCTTCACCGTCTCTGAGGGAGTGGTCGCTCCCTACCCAGGATTTTAAGGAGATTACTTGACACAGAAACACAAGTGGTACGGGAGGGGTCGTGAAAGCTCATATTCCCATCCTGCGCTTTTTTTTTTTTTGGATGGCTTTTCAGGCTCAGATTATTTTGAGACAGTGCGTCTTAATCACCCGGTGCAAACAGCACACTTTCAAATCCAAGGGCTTTTGGCAGCGCGTGTGAAGGAAGTAGAAGTTTCCAAATAGTAGGAAAGTCAGCTAAAACTAAAGAGCACAGCCCCCATTGAGGTTCCTCCCGCAGTGTAACTGTGGATCAAAGTGTCCACGGCTCGCTCCCATTCACGGCAGCCCTTGTCCCACCGCGGGAGGGAAGCTCTCTCCGGCCTTTGCCGGCACTTATCTTTGCAGGGTAAGGCTGCCAAGTGTTCCAGAAAGCACCGAATCTTTCTCCGGCCACAAAAGCCAGAGCCCCCTAACCCCTTCCGGAGGGGAGCGGTCCCCAGAGGGGTGCAGCCCACGTTTCCCTGAGCTGCTCACACAAGCCCTTCTCCGCGTGGCTCCAGCAGGCGGACGCTGTGTAGCCAAGTGCCTCCCCCGTTTTGGCCAGGTGAAGCTGTTCCTGGGTGGTGGGATGTTGGTTGCACGCCTGGGACAAAGGCCCATAGCCCACCAGGTGAGACCTGCCACTGCAGAAGCCCTGTGGGGCTTGGCTTGGGGCCTGGAAGGCCTGGAGTCCCCTTTGATTTTGCCCTTTCTGTCTCCCCCCACCCCCCTGGGACTCAGCAGCTCCTGATGTCCCTACCTCCAAAACATGCCCTGAGTGCCGCCCCCCCCCCATCATCCGTCTCCTGGCCCCCTTCCTCTTTGCCCTGAGCACCTGCTTGCCCTCGTCCATGGCTGCAACCCCAGCTGCTATGGAAACCTCCAGATGCACAGATTGGATGACTTCCCTGCTCAGGAGCTGCCGTTGATTTCCTTTCGTACCTAGAATGCCATCTGAACGCCTACCTTGTCTTCCAGGGAGGGCCTGTGGGACCTGGCCCCCAGCCCCTGGGTTATCATTCTGTTCCTCAAACTCCACCAGCTTCTTCCCACCTCTGGGTGTTCACATGTGCTGTTCCCTCGCTGGATTGCCCTTGACCTGCCTGGTTCCTTCGCATCATCCAGTTCTTGGCTTGCAGAGCCCCTTCCTCGCACCCACATTCACACTACAGATGTGCCCCAGGAAGGCAGGGGGCTGATCCACCTTGGGATTCTCACTGCCCCCCTGTCTTCAGGGCCTAAAAGAGTATGGAAAAATTGGTGGGTGTGCAGGAAGGCGATGAATGAATGAATGAGTAAATGAACAAAGCCTCCTGTAGCCATTCCCAGCCATGACTGAGGCTGTCCTTCACCACATATCCATCCCCTTCTGTTCGGCCACGTTGCTTGGGTGTTAGAACAGCTCAGCAGAGCTGATGGAGGAGCAGCTCCCCAGCGGCCATGCAGGGGAGCATTGAAGCGTGCGTCCTCTGAAGCAGGGTGAGCTGCAGGTCAGCTGCAAAAGTGGGAAGCCTGCCCTGCCCCGGGAGAGCCCAGTTCTATCTCCTGCCTTGGTCAGGCTGCCAGCCACCGGCCACTTCCTGGGGCTTTGGGAGTGCTTTCGTCCAGCCCGCCCTTCTGTCCATCTAGCTGCTGCTGGACTGGCTGATCTGGGAGGCCGGTGCTCTGTGTGCGGGATGCCAGTGAGCATGGGTGAGGGGTCCAGGCAAGGGCTGTTCTCTGGAGTCCCAGGAACAGAGCGGAGCTGAGGGTGTGGTCGGGCTCAACGAACCAGGGGCCTGGCCTTCCAGGGAGGGCTCGCTGCGCCTGCCTTAAAGGAATGTTCTGTGGTTGGTGGGGTCAAGGGTAGAGGAGTCCAGTTCCATCAGAGGCTGGGGAGAGTGAGGGAGAGCCGTGGGTTCCTGCTCGTTTTTCCTTTGCTCTGCCAGGAAAGTGGGATATGGCTTTCCGGGGTGGGGTGGGGAGTGGCTGCCCTGTCATCGGGCAGCCTATTTTAGCCACTTGCCCAGAGCTGAGTCATCGCACTTAGCAACACCCCCTGCCAAAGACATAGCTCTCTTTGGCACGATCCCCTTCCTGGTGGGCTCTTAGGCCTCCTGATCTGTCCCCAGGACTGGCCCCGGGCCACCTGCTGGTCCTTAATCTTGGTATTTATCACCCCCACATTGTTCTGTGTTCAAAGCTTAGGGTTCTCACCAGCCCTGAAGCCTCCCCCATCTGGTCTGAGCTCTAGGATTCCAGAGACCCAGACCTTGGCGGGGCTCCAGGACTCCTTGCTGGACAACTGAGATGGGTAGGTGACTCCATACAGGCCCCAACTCTCTCGAGACTTTTTCATGCTGGGTATTAGAGATGGTTTGGTTTTTTATAAGCCAGAAAGCCTCATTCCCACCCCCAGGGAGTGAGACCACAAGCAGCAGATAGCATTGGCCAGACTTCTGCTTTCTTTCTGAGGTGTAGGGCCGAGCCAGGTACTGGGGCCCTGGGGGCTGGCCTGTGGATTTCCTTGCTGGCCTCTCTTACCTCTTCTCCTGTTTTACCCGCCAGGATAGAAGTGGGGGCTGATGGGACCCTTCTGTCCCGTAGTTATGATGGCCAGAGTGCCAGGTCCCTGTGAGTGGCCACAGGGCTCTTCACCAGGTCTGCTGAGGCCCTGGCAGCTGGGTCTGTGGTTCTTCTTTCTCTTCTCTGAGAGGCGCACTTCAGATTGGGAAACGACAGTGCTGGATGGAAGCTGCTCAGTGGGTCGGGGGATTCCTGCTGTTACATCAAAACCCTTAACGCAGCTCTGGAAATTCATGTCGTGTGTTCCCACGATTCTAGCCCTTTATGCCCCCTGCCCTGCCTCCCCCCCCCTTTTTTTTTGTTTACCTGGTAAATAGCATAAGCTTTAGTTTTATAGCTGTGTTCTGGACCCAGGGCAGTTTGGTGGCCCCCCCTGACCCTTGCCCCCCGGCAAGGGGACATTTGGCCGGCCTGGAGACATTTGAGGAAGCAGCCAGGCTCCTCCTTTTTCTCCCCTGGCCCGGAAGCAGGGAGGGGCGTTCTGTTGGTCATGGGAACTGATGAGGGACGCTATCCACCAAAGGCCAGAGAAAGGTCTGGAGCAGAGTAGAGGGAGCACTGGACTGGGAGACCAGCTTCTCGCCCAGCTCTGCCCTTTGGGGCACAGACCTGGATGAGTCACTTTGCCTCAGTATACCTGTTTTCTGGGGCTACCCTGGGTGTCGCTTTCCTCCCAGCTCTTTGAGATCCCAGGACTCTGTGACCAGAGGCAGGCGCTAGACCACAAGCAGGTTGAAGACATGAGCCCTTTCCATTCTTGCCTGGTGCCCGCAGAAGCCTGAGGGATTCCCTAGTATCAAGATGTCGTTAGAAACCTGGTTTGGTTTTCTTCTGTTCCTAACAAGTCTGAGGCCAACTGCAGACTCCCTTTCTCTTTTTTAGCCAAAGAAAGTTTTCCCCCAAAAGTTGGCCTGTGAGCTCATGGTCCCATAGGGTGACCCTCTTCTGAGCAGTGGCACGGGGATGAGCCTGAGGCCAGTAGTTTCCATGAGTGTAAGAGTCAGCAAACTATTGCCCATGGGCCAAATCTGGCCCACAACTTGTTTTTATATATAAAGTTTTACTGGGACACAGCCATACCCTTTGTTTACGTAGGGTCTGTTGCTGCTTTCCTACTAACTACAAAGACGGTATCTTCCACGAAGCTGAAAATCTTGAGTCTCTGGCCCTTTGTAGAAAATGTTGGCCAATTGGTCTAGCTGATGCATGTCTAACTGTTTAGAGGTTAGATCCCAGGACGTGGGCTGGAGGGAGGATTCAGGTTAGGGGTAAGGGAAGCTAAGTGGCCTGAGGGTTTGGTGGGGAGAAAGAGGAACATGAGGAGGGAGGGCCGAGCGGCCATAGTGGGTCATCCCTGGGCCATCCAGGAGAGTCCTCCCCTGGCTCGGAGGCCAGCCCAGGTCACCGGTGTGGCAGGTCTGCCCCAGTGCCTGGCTCCCACCTCACGTCCTACAGGACTTTGTTTGCCGGAGTGACGAGCGTAGGACTGCCTGGGGCTGGCACGGGGTTGGGAGCCATCAGACTGGGCGTCGGCAGCTGGACAAGGGGTGAAAGCACTGGGGCTGCGGGGGTGGGGGGGCGGTGGAGGACACAGAGAGGTTGGGCCAGGAACCCCAGAGCGGTGTGTAAGCTGAAGTGAAGCCCGGAGGGCGGGATGGAGGTGCTGCCTTTCAGCAGGGTCTGCTAGACAGGCTTCAGCGGTGAGCAGGCCCCTTGGAACCCCCTCTGGAAGCTCAGAGTCCAGTGGGCAGATGACAGCCCCGTGGGTGGGAATAGGAGGAGGGAGCGGTGCCTGCGAGAGAGGGGGCACCCGGAGTGCTGGGTGGCCGAGAGGGCGTTTCCCAGAAGTGACGTCTCCACTGAGCTCGGAAGGTCGTTGGGTGAGCCAGGTGACAGGGTGCTCTAGCAGGGACCTGCATTTGTCCAGTCCTGGAGTCCAGAAGGCAGACGCTCAGGGGCTGGGGTGGAGTGCAGAGGTAGGGGGGCAGCAAGGAATGGCATTGAGGAGGGAGGGAGGGAGGCTGGGACTGGTGGCCAGATCCGGGGGTCTGCACTGGGCAGTCCTGGATGGGTTTTGTTTTAGATAAAAGGTGATGAATGGTCCGGAGAGGGACAGAAGGGGAGAAATGGGGATCTGCTGGGCTGGTGTCAGGGGCCAGGTGGGATGTGGTGGGCTAGTGGGAGGCAGCCTTAGGGGTGAGGAAGAAACCAATGGGGTTCCCATAGGTTGTGCTTTGCAGTGGGAAGGGTGGGCCTGCCGTGAAGGTAGAGTTGAGAATCGTTAGCAAGACTGGTGGCCGACTCCATGTCTCCCCACTCCGCTCAGCCCTGCACTACTGGGTTTAGCATTTGGGGCAGGCCGCTCCGGGAGGGGAAGGGGATGGTTTGGCTCCAACTCGGGACCTCACTGTGGTGCTTGCCAGGAGCTGTGTGGGCGGTACCTCGAGCTTTCAGACGGCCCAGGCTCTCCTGGCGTCCCCTCTGCTGATCTTCTGTTCTGGTTAACCACCCCCCCCCCACCTGGGTCTGCAGATCTCGGGGGCCAGACCACCTAGTCCCTGCCCTCCCACACCCTTAATGGTTAAAGAAATCAGGAGGCAGTTCTCTTCATCCCCAAGAGGCACAGAGTGAGTCTTCGGCAAAGAGCTTGGCCCCATAGTAGAGAGGTCACAGGCGGGGTCCTCATTTATGGGACACCCCGCGAGGACTGGGAAGGCTGGGGAGCTGGTTCTGTGGGTCCCAGCAACCCCGCCCCAATTCTGATCCAGAAAGTGAGCCGGGCCGCCCACATCTGTGGAGGTGCTGCTGGGCAGCGTCTCTGGGGCCCGTCCTGTGGGCTCGCTCCTCTGAGGGCTGTGACTCAGGTTGAGGTGTCCACTGGCTTCAGAGATTGAGGTCAGACGGCAGGAAGAACTTACAGCATGTGTCCAATCCTCAGCTGCCGCGTGGACTCACTTGTGTGCCTCCACACCCTTCACTGTGGTTGTGTTTGCTCTGGCAGCGTCCTGGTTGGGGGGAGACGGCGTCCTCCTCCCGGGTTCGGGGAGAGCGTCTCTGACCTCTACCCGGATTTGTAAAAAGCGCTCCCCTAACCCGAGTGCCTGGGCATGAAGAAGGAGGCAGGGTTATGACACTGATTGCCGGCTAATGGTAGTCCGGTGGGCTTTGGTGCTGTGCGGCCAGCCCAGGTTGACCCTTTGCCTGCTCCTCTCTCTTTGCAGCCCCATGATCTCCTCCTTGTCACCCCCTCCACCCGCCGGACTTGAGATCTGACCCCCGACCCGCCTGCCGCCCTCGGGAGGCCCGCCCCCCAGCACGATGCCTATCCTCAAGCAGCTCGTGTCCAGCTCGGTGCACTCCAAGCGCCGCTCCCGCGTGGACCTCACGGCCGAGATGATCAGCGCCCCCCTGGGCGACTTCCGGCACACCATGCACGTGGGCCGGGCGGGGGACGCCTTTGGGGACACCTCCTTCCTCAACAGCAAGGCCGGCGAGCTGGACGGTGAGTCCCTGGATGAGCAGGCCTCCACCTCGTCCTCCAAGCGCAGCCTCCTGTCCCGGAAGTTCCGGGGCAGCAAGCGGTCGCAGTCGGTGACCCGGGGCGACCGGGAGCAGAGGGACATGCTGGGCTCCCTGCGGGACTCGGCTCTGTTCGTCAAGAACGCCATGTCCCTGCCCCAGCTGAACGAGAAGGAGGCGGCCGAGAAGGGCTCTGGCAAGCTGCCCAAGAGCCTGTCGTCCAGCCCCGTGAAGAAGGCGGGCGCCGGCGAGGGCAGCCAGGAGGAGGTGGGCGAGGGGGAGCTTGGGCCTCGGCGGAATGGGGCCGCCGCCCCCCACTCCCCGGACCCTCTCCTGGACGAGCAGGCCTTCGGGGACCTGACAGAGCTGCCCGTCGTGCCCAAGGCCGGCTTGGGGCTCAAGCACGCCGAGTCCATCATGTCCTTCCACATTGACCTGGGGCCGTCCATGCTGGGCGACGTCCTCAGCATCATGGACAAGGAGGCATGGGAACCGGAGGAGGAGGAGGAGGAGGAGGAGGAGTTGGAGGGGGGTGGCGGGTACCATGACAACGGGGCCAAGGCCCGCGGCGGCACCCTGCTGGCTCCCCTGGCGGCTGCGGCGGCCCCTCCCAGGGCCAGGCAGGAGGGCGCGGCCGGCCGGGACCTGCCCCAGGACGAGGGGTGGGCGGCGGCCCCCAGCCCGGCCTCGGCCTGCAGCGAGGGCAGCCACACTCCGCGGGACAGCAGCTCCCTGTCCAGCTGCACCTCGGGCGTCCTGGACGAGCGCAGCCCGGCCTCCCGGGGCCCCGACAGGGCCCGGGCCCCACTGGCCCGGCAGCCCGACAAGGAGTTCTCCTTCATGGACGAGGAGGAGGATGAGGAGATCCGAGTGTGAGTGAGGGGCTCCCGGCGGGGCTCCGCCTCCTCCCTGCCCCCGGGGCCGCCGCCCCCTTCCCTGCCCCCTCCCCGTGCACTGCAGCCGAGAGCCCGCCTTTGGCCCGCAGACCCTGGACTCTCCCGGGCGCGGGGAGCTGGCGGGGGGCTGCAGCAGGGTGCACGCAGCCCCGCTGAGCGCTGCGGGACAGGAACCGGCCGTCCCTTACTCCCCCCCCCCCCCCCGCCCCGCCCGCCCCGGCCTCAGGTGGATGCCAGCCGCCGGCCAAGTTCCTGCCTGGTGCGGCCGCCGCAGCTCAGCCCCGGGACGGCCCGGGGCCACGGCTAAGGACGCTTGGCTCACCTTTCCTCTCCTGGCGTTTCTGCTGCGACTGGTGGCGCGTGGCAGGAGGAAGGGTGGTCACGGACCCTGGCCCCCTCCATCCCTCGTCCCCAGCTCCTGCACCAGAAGCCTGGAGCCCCTCGGAGCAAAGCCGGACCAGATGTGTGCACTAAACGCAGCCCCTTCCAGGGGACGAGAACGGGATGGGGAACGAAAGGAGGCCCCGGGCTTCTTGAATTTTCTAGAAGGGGCTCTTTCCAGGATGACACTAGGAACAGGCTGGGCACTCACTCGCTCGGTCCCTGTTGATTTGTTTGTTCTTCTTGTCATGTTTAAATCCTTCCAGAGCGGTATCTGGAACAGTGTTAATAGGTCTGCCGCCAGAAGGAAAATCAGATCCTTTTAGAAAACCTTTATACTAAGTGCTTCCAAACTTTATTTAGAACCGTATGGGGTGGGTGTCTGTGCATGTCTGTCCCTCCTCCCACCCCATAGCTACTAACAACTGAAGGCAGCCCGTGTAGAAAATTTCTGGGAGATGATTTTTTAAAAAAAACAATATATCATTCCTATGGAGGGATAAAAAGCTTTTTTTGACTGGATTACTCCCCTCCCATACACACACACACACACACACACACACACACACACACACACACACACA